TTGCTGAAATCGTTCCTTTAATTCTTTCCACATGTTGGCAGCAGTAGAAAGATAAATGATGCTGGATGAAATCTCTTTAGAGACTAAATTGAGAATCCAAGATATAACAACATTGTTATTTCGAGACCAAGATCTGTAAGTTGGATCAGATGAATCAGGTTCGGGAAGAACATTTCCTTCAACAAAATCAATTTTGTTCTTGATTGAAAGAGCAATCCGCATGGATCTACTCCAAGTAGCATAGTTGTCGCCTGTGAGTACTTGAGAAACGAGTACTAAACCAGGTCCATCCGAATTATGAAGATAAAACGAATCATTGTAGGAATCGGAATTTGAAGAATTAGGATTCGGAATTGGATTTGTAGAAGTAGAAGAAGAAGGCATTATTAGAAACTAAAATGGAGAGATCAAAGATTCGCCATTGATGAACAAAAATCCGTCATTAGTGAACGAAGAAAAAAAAACAGAGCACGCTCTGATACCATATTAACTTGTATGAACAGAAATGAAATGTGAGATATGATCTTAATTTCTCATTACTGATTAAGAAAGGATTACAGACTATATATATACACTTGTTACAATACGCCTTTAATCTAACATACACCTAACCAACTCGTAACAGATGATACTGTAGTTGACTTAATGTGAAATTACATTAATACCCCTAATATATTAAGTTATAGATATTCTAAATATACTTACATCGAAGTAAAGTCATGCATGAACTAGATAAGACACTTTTAAATTATTTTAGTCTGATCATAGTGAACTTCTTTTGTCGTAAGGGATATATTATTCCTTAATCATACTTGTTGGCATTATCTTGCAGCATCAAGGATTAAAATTCATCCATGTACTCTTTGTTTTGAGGTGGTCTTGGTAGCCTTGTTTTGCAACAACTGATGATTAATCCTTAATGTTGTGTGTTGGCCTTTTTATGCATCACGAAGGATTTTTCCTTTTCTCGTACTTCTCGTTTGGATATCATTTTAAGTTGAATGTTTTTCTACTTTTACATTAACCTTCATCGTAAATATATAGAGTAATGACTAGAAAACCCCCCAAGATGAGAGTCTGGTGGTTGAGATGCGACATTTCAAACTCTGACACGTGCAAAATATTGCTAGTGTTTCCAGGGGCGGAGGGAGTACAGGGGCCAGCAGGTGTTCAGCCCCCCTTATCCCTTTTAATTAGACTATATGAATATGAATATTAATGGATAGGCTATAAGATTCTCCATAGTTTCATATATTCATTTTACCCATTGCCACCTCCAATTAGAGTAGGCCCATAAATAGATTTCTATGAAAAATACGATATTACCTCCTACGATTTAAAAAAGAAAAACAGTGCACCCATACCAATTCACATTCCTCATATTTTCCAATAAGTCAAATATCCCATTTATCTTTTACCAATTAATTAATTTCCTTTTCTTTTCTTATACCAACTTCCTGAATAATCTCTATAAAATTAAATTAATCAGTCTATTCAAAACATAAACTAGAACCTTTATACCTAACTCATTATCATCGACAAATAACGCCGCCATCGACTACAAAACTCTAAGTTTCAGCATCATTTTTGAACTTATATCTCTTCAACAGGTAATTTATTAAAAATTCCAATTTCAAAGTTTTATAGTGCTATCTATATTTCACTAATAATTACATGTTAGTAAATATTATTGGTGTGACGTACTGACGTTATATTGATAATATTAAAGTGTTCTCTTTAGAATATATATTTATTATTAAGTTAGCTTTGGTTTTGATTGAAAATAAATATGTTTGTTATTAATTATTAATAATGTAGTTAGTGTTTCCATCTTCTAAATTGTTCATATAAATTATGTTAATTATTAATTAAGACATAATAATATCGAAGAGTCGATTAATATTGAGCTTGAAAAGAAAATAATTTTAAAATTTTAAAATAAATAAATTTAATTTTTTTTTAATTCATAATACATAAAAACGACTTGATCTTAAGCTATACTAGCCATAAACGTGGTTTAGATATAAATTATATTTCATATTATATTATGTTATAAGCCTCTCATTCTGAAATTCTGGCTCCGCCCTGAATGTTTCACAATTAATCTCCAGCATTGTCGTTGGGTGGGTTGATGTGGGCACTCACATGGTGTGATTTTTCATTTTTTTTAGAGTAACGGTAAAAGGGGAGGCTACTCAAACCGAGTAGAATGAAGTGTAAAATCTTCTCGGACCAAGTAGATTGGTCAAGCCATCTCTTTATTTGTCGGCCAAAAGTCCTTTTCAAGAAAATTATATTTTATTCTCTTGTTGCTTTATACCCTACTACGTGACCAATTTTTTGCCCCATCTTTAGCCCAACATTTTTATCCATAAGCTTGTTCTTTTAAGTCAAATTCTCTTCTCCTTTAGCCCAACGTCCCTAGATCACTTGTTTGCACCGAATAGCCGTAAATATTAAAAAAAAAAAAAAAAAAAAAAAAAAAAAAACCTTAAAATATGCATGTGAAATTAATAAAAACTAGTAAAGAACCCGCGGCTACGCCGTTTTTGGGGTAATATGGGAAAAATCGGCAAATTTTAAAACATATGTGCTGAAATTGTAAATCGCCACAAATAGGGGAGAAAGTCGACAACCCCTAAAATTAGATGTCAAAAGTGTACAACGAAAAGAAGAGGCATTGGTGGAGAAAATCCAAAAATATTGTGGCAATAATGTTAAAGTTGTTAAAGTTGGGAAAATATGGTGGTAAAATTTTAAAGGAGATTTTTTGTGTTTTTTATGTCAAAATGTAAAAGTTTTGACTACAAGGACGAAAAGTGTCAAATTCATTAAAGATTTGCGGGAAAAACACCAAAATTTAAAACTTTTGACTGTAAGGACTAAAAGTGTCAAAGTCATTAAAGATTTGTGGCAAAAACCTCAAGGCACATTAATCAAAAGGCAAAAATGTAAAAATTTTGACTTTAGGGACTAAAAGTGTTAAATTCAGCAAACTTTTGTGGCAAAAACCTAAAGCCTAAAAAAATACTATTCCTAAGCTCCTTTAGATTTAATATATATATATATATATATATATATATATATATATATATATATATATATATATATATATATATATATATATATAGTAAATTTGACAAAATAACTTATAAAAGGAAACAGAAAAGAAAAATGCAAACCTTAGAGGCGAAGCGTCAACAATCAACAACAAATTAAGAATGACATACTCATACGTTGTTGTATGAAAACATAATCGAATCGAGATCATAATGAATTACCAACAATTCGAAGTACGTCTTGTCAAGAATCTTATTGGAAATATAATACAAGTACTTAAAGATATAATGTTGAAACCCTTAAGTAGATTGATATATGTTGGGTCGGTACCTTTTAGCTATAATACATTATGACCGCATGGTTGGACGATATTGTCAACTTTTGACTTTTGAAGTCTTTATTCTTCAACTTTGACCTTAAATATTTTTATTTGTGTTATATATTACTTGATGAAATTTATAACAATGAAAAGACATTTAAAAGATAGTCACGAATCATTATGGAAATTATTTGATGGTGGTGCTTTGCGTCAGAAAAGGCTTGCCTGAGAGCTTGTGATTTTATTTTCAGGATGGTTTTTGTCGTCTTGTTGAAAAAGTACGACTGAAAAAGTACGACTTTGTGTTGATACAATACTACTCTACATGATTATTTTAACGAATAACTTTGTTTGTGTGGTTAAAAGATTTAGACTTGAATGGTCAGGTGGTGTCTTGAGATCTTAGATTTCTGAACTAAATATAAAATTACTTAACTACTTTTAGTTTTAATATGAAAAAATTATTATGATTATGATTCAATCTTATTAAGTCACAAGAATAATTTTGGAAGCACATATCGAAACAACCATTTAGAAGTAACGGCTTTTGCAATTCAATTAAATTCACAGTTATTGTCCATCGGTATTCGGTATAAAGATGGTTAAAGATTTAACTCAAATAGTAATATAATTTACGATTAGATTATAAAGAGTATGTAATGCTATTCTAAAAAAAACAAAAAGCCAATTCCTATAATAATTTGACGTCGCCCGTAACTTTTGGTTTCATTAATCTTTATTAATCATATCACTTGTCTAAATTTTTTAATTTAATATTTAAATCTACAACAAATAGCAAATAAAAATTAAGAAGAACTTTGGGATTTGAACTAGGGATGAAATCGGTCCAACGCTCAAGAATATTGAGGGACCATGCAAAGCTAAGACTGAATACCGAATCGTATGTATAAGTGGTTTGGTATTCGGTATTATAACCACATAGGACCAAAATAAGAACAGAAAAAACACTAAATATCAAAACACTAAGATAATGACTTGAATCCCCTATAAAGTAGGCTAAAAGTGCATCAAGTTTCCAGGCTTGTTGGGAATTTGAACAACAATCCTGGATTTTATTTATTTCTTTGAGAAAAAGCTCAACTATACATTGATGCACACTAGCTGTTAGTTTGTTGACCGAAACATGTGTTTGTAACTGTGGATTTGTACTTGATAGAAACAATTATAAAATGACACCAAAATGTATGCTATCATAAATAAACTTGAAGCAGTTTCACCAAAAGAGAGAGAAAAAAAAACACATCTTCGAACTAGTTAAGAACTTCTGCCAATTTTTATGAGACTCCTCCTACCTCATTCCATTTTGAACAACCATAGATTTCTTAACACCTTGACAGTGTAATAAAATTTCGATCTTTTTTCAATCTAACATATTTCAGTCTTTTTTTAATAATTTTAGCAAATACAATAATTAAAAAAAAGTAACCCGTACATAAAAAAACAACAACGATCCAAATTTTATAAAATTTGTGACTTTTTCAAATTACGTAACAAGTTATTGCATATGTATATTTCACGAAAGTAGTATTCTCAGTTTTTCAAATATAAGAACATGTTTTATGATAATATGATAAGACAATTTTGAGAAATCAAACTTGATTCACTTTGACGGCTCAAGGTACTTCTTCTTTTCTTCGTCAGTCACAAACGCAGTAACTGGATACGACTTTCCAACTCCAATCGAGGTCTTGAAGTAAATCTTGGAGCTTTTTTCATTTTCCATACTCAACTCAACAACAGGCACCCACATCATCATTTTTTTGCTTTTAATCCCAGTCACTTTCGTCATCTTACATTTTTCAATATATGCAGTTATCTCAGTTGCATAGCTGACAGTTGCATTAGCCTCTTTAAAAAAGTGTTCACACGGAGCCTTTTGCTTCAGCCAAACATAACCAGTCTGACGAACTCTCCCACACTCCACCAAATCTTTGAGTGGGAGAATGCCTTTTGGGAAACCGAGCTCTTCAAGGAGATCAAAGGAATAGCGACCACAATCTTCATCCCCACACACGATCTCGGCCCCGGCTCTCTCGTCTGCCATTGTTTTTTCCTTTAAGTTGTATGAATTGATCTTTAAGTTGAATGTTTGGGTTTGAACGAATGTTGGGTTTTATAGACAAAGTTGTGGTAGGTGTTGGAATGCTCGTTCATCTAATTAAGTTACGGGTGTTCATGGCATTATTACATTAAGAGAGGGGACGAGGTGTTAGCCCCCTAGCTACATACTCCTATGTAAGTGAATGATAAATTAATATAAGAATAGAAGTAGTTGTTTTGAAATAAAGTTATATAAAAAGTAATAGTTAACTATCAAATAATAGTGGGATCAAATTTGCATGGCTTTAAATAAGAAGTATTGAAATCCATATGGCGTTTGAAAGGAAATTGAAAGGCCCTGCTGTGCATGGTCTAAAGAAATATAATTGGCAGCTCAAAACCAAGGTTGGATCCCTTCTCTTTTTCAAGTTTTTTGTGGATCAAAACCAGGTCCGGGCTATCCATTTTCCTTCCCTAGATCCGGACCCATACACACCAATCCAACTTTTTCTTTTTTCAGTTTTACTTCTAGTTTTTCTTTTATAATGTTGACGAGAGCTAATTATAGTATGATTGTGAATTGATCTCCTCCAACATTCCACTAATAGGGGATAGTCATTTAAGGAGTATTAAAATTTCCATATTGTAATTGTAATTCCCTGTATATATTCTTGTAATACCCTCATGAAATAATACATAGAAAATTGATCCTGCATCTTGAACCAGTTCTTTATGGTATCAGAGCAGGACCACACGAAAAATACCACAAACTTAGTAGCCTAATCGAATTGAGTCTATTTCATGGCGGAAAAAGATCCTCATGTCATTGTTCAAAACGTACAGGATGCTCCATTCCCCACCAGAATCATCCTTGATGATTCGAATTACCCTCTGTGGTCTCAGTTGATGGAGATACGCATCGGAGCAAGGAACAAATCTGGATTTCTCACTGGGAAGAGTCTGAAACCCACGGATGAAAAACTGCTAGAAAACTGGCTTATCGATAACAATCGTGTCAAAAGTTGGCTTATCGATTCGATGAGTCCCTCCTTGATTCAACGATTCATTCGGCTCCAAACAGCGAAAGAGATTTGGGAAGCAGTTGCAAAAACATTCTACGATGGTTCTGATGAAACTCAACTTTTCGAGCTAAAACGAAGATCGTTCACGACTCGCCAAAACAGTAGACCTTTGCCCACCTATTACAACGAACTAGTCAGCATATTTCAAGAAATTGATACTCGCATTACAAATGAGGAAGAAAGTGTGGCACAAATTGTATCAGGTAATAAAATTCTGGCCCGCCTTCGTGTTAACATCTTTCTCGCTGGGCTCGATCCCGAATTCAATCATGCCAGAAGTGAAATCCTGCGAAAAGACCCTCCTCTCGGCCTTGAATCTTGCTATGCCTTTGTTCGAAGAGACCAAAACCAAAGAAACACCATGGAAGAACCGAAAGTGGAAGCTGATGGAATCGTACACTTGGTTGCTAGGAACCGAGTTCAGAAAGGAAAAAGTTCAAACAACTAGGGAAGTTCTTTTACATGCACCCACTGCGGAGAAGAAGGACACTCAAAGCAAAGATGCTATGAGATCATTGGATATCCGGATTGGTGGGATTTCTCAAAGAAGCCCCGGAAAAAAATAGGCCAAGCAAAAGTTAATACCTCTACCAAAAATGAACTAGCAGTCCCTATTGCTGCACACACTGAGCATGTGAACGACTCTGCACACACTGGTATGTCTACATCTAATTCTACTAGTGATGATAACTGGATCATTGACACAGGAGCGACTGATCATATGACAAATGATCCATGTAAATTGTATCCATGTACTCTCCAAAACAAACCAAGATTCGTACAGCAAATGGAGGAACTGCTCATGTGACTGGTGAAGGACCAATACAAGTATCTGGATCTATGAATCTAGAAAAAGTTCTTGTGGTTCCCTCGCTATCATCTAACCTCCCGTCTATATCCCAAATTACAAAAAGGTTGAATTGTTTTGTATCATTCTGGCCTGATGAATGTATTTTCCAGGACATCAAGACTCAGAGGATTCTTGGCTATGGTACTAGGCGGGGGAAGTTGTATTACTTTGAAGACCAGAAGCATGGTGTAGCTCTCAATACTGGAATATCTCATGGAAATAAAACGATGACATGGCTATGGCATCGTAGACTAGGACATTTATCATTCAGTTATCTTCGGAAATTGAAACCAAGTTTGTTTTTTGGAAATGATGATGATTTTAAATGTGGTATTTGTGAAATGGCTAAAAGCCATAAAACTTCATATGCTCCAAGCGATAATAAGAATTCGATTCCGTTTATAACTATTCACTCAGATGTATGGGGCCCCGCTCCAATACCTACACCTAACGGTGCTCGTTATTTTGTGACTTTTATTGATGAATGTTCTCGCATGATTTGGATTTCTCTACTTAAACATAAGGGAGAAGTATGTACAGCCTTTAAGGAATTGGTCCGAACCGCTAAGTCACAATACAAAGGCGACATCCAGGTCCTACAATCTGATAACGGAACCGAGTATATCAACCAAAACATGAAAGATTTTTGTGAAGAAAAATCCATAAGACATCAAACCTCATGTGTTAGAACCGCGCAACAAAACAGACTGGATGAAAGAAGAAATCGACAACTTCTAGAGATTGTTCGAGCATCCTTGTTTGACATGAATGTTCCTCGTCAATACTGGGGTGAGGCTGTCCGATCTACAACTTATCTCATGAATAGAACTCCATCTAGAGTCATTGATTTTAAAACTCCTCTTCAAAAACTTCAAGAACTCGTGGAAATCCCAGCAAACATCGATCTTGAACCAAGGGTTTTTGGCTGTACGACTTATGTGCATCAGAACCTTGGTAAGCTGGAACCTCGAGCTGTCCGATGCATCTTCCTAGGGTACGCTGATTTCAAGAAGGGATACCGTTGTTATGAACCTACAGAGAAAAAAATGAACATCACCAGAGCTGTGGTATTTCATGAGAATATTCAATTCTTTCAAGGTGGGAGTTCTCTTCAGGGGGAGAAAATAACAAAAATACAGGAAGAGAACCCATATGAGTTCAGTGAAGAACCAAATCTGCAAGGTGAAACTCCCGATACTCCGTACAACGGAAATGAAGGAGAAGATAATGGAACACCTATGGATAAAATTAGTGAAGAACTAGATGATGTGGTGGTTGAAGATCAAGAGAATACTACTTCCCCACCGGATCATGAACCAGCGACGTCTTCGGTTCCTACACCAACCTCTAACCACAATGGCTCTATTTTGCAGGATAACATGAACAATGACATCCCGCAAGAAATTGAACCTAGATATCCTGTAATACAGAACCGTGGAGTCCCGGTAAAGAGATATCATGCAGATCTCAAAGCTAAGGCAAAATACCCCATCAACAACTATGTTTCCTCCCATCGGCTTGCAAAATCTCAAGCGCTACTCGTAGACCATTTGTCATATGTGTCTATACCAAACGATGTTTGTGAAGCACTGAAAGACGAGAAGTGGAAGAAAGCAATGAACGATGAAATGGAAGCCCTCCAAAAGAATCGTACTTGGGAGATGGTAAATCTCCCTCAAGGAAAGAAACTGGTAGGATGTAGATGGTTATTTACGGTCAAACTCGACTAGGAAGGAAATATTGACCGGTACAAAGCGAGACTCGTTGCTAAAGGGTACACTCAAAAGTATGGTATCGATTATGGAGATACCTTTGCTCCGGTAGCAAAGATAAATACCATTTGTATCCTTGTATCTATAGCAGCAAACCAAGACTGGCCTCTTCGACACTGATAAACGTATCACCATCCGTAGTTATATGGAAACCATAAAACTCTGGTGTCATTCTAACTCGAGTGGAACGTCTCAAAGGTAACGACTCGTCAATAGTTTCAACAGGAATTTCTTCCTCGAGTGGAGTGCTAGTGTTAGAGGTTCCTTCATCGCTTGACTCTTGAATTTATTCAAGATCAATTGCACTCCCACTGTCCTCTTTGTATATGAGCTCTCTCTTGCGAAAGACTCCTCTTCGTGCTACAAAGACCACGTTATCACTAGGTCTGCAGAACAAGTATCCAAAGGACTTTTGTGGATAGCCGATGAAAATGCATCGCTTACTTCGAGGTTCAAGCTTGTCGTAAGTCTCTCGTCTAACGAAAGCTTCACAACCCCAAACCTTGATATGTGCTAACGAGGGAACCTTCCCTGTCCACATCTCGTGAGGTGTTTGGGCAACCTTCTTTGTTTGAACAAGATTAAGAACGTGGGCGGCAGTCTCTAAGGCATACCCCCAAAATGAGATTGGTAGTGAAACTCAACTCATCATGGAATAAACCATGTCCAACAAGGTTCGATTACGCCTCTCAACCACACCATTAAGTTGTGGTGTCCTAGGAGGTGTCAATTGTGAAACAATTCCACATTCCTTGAGGTAGTCGTGGAACTCGATACTAAGATACACACCACCTCTATCAGATCTGAGCATCTTGATCTTCCTGCCCAATTGATTCTCGACTTCATGTATGAATTCTTTGAACTTTTCAAAGGTTTCTAACTTATGCTTGATTAAGTAGATATATCCATACCTGCTATAATCATTGGTGAAAGTTACATAAAATTGATTTGCATCCCTTGTGATGGATCTGAAGGGCCCACACACATCCGTGTGTATGAGGTCCAACAATCCCTCACCTCTTTCACAAGAAGCCGTGAAAGGTGATTTAGTCATCTTTCCAAGTAAACAAGACTCGCATGTATCATCTGACCTTAAGTCGAATGATTCCAAAACTCCATCCTTTTGGAGTTGGGCAATGCGTTTCTTGTTGACATGTCCAAGACGACAATGCCACAAGAATGACTTGTCTAAACCATTAGACGAATAAATTTGCAACACACTATTTCCTAAATTGTCTACAACCATCACAGTTTCATACACACCATCACAAGGTAATGCTTCAAAATAAAATACACCATT